ATTCTTTCACCATACTGATTCAATATGTATGTTGAGCAAATAATACAAGAAGCTGGATTATATGAAGAATACTATGGCTTTAGAATTGGGAGACGACTCATTAACAACCTGTGATATGCAGATGATACAACCTTGCTTGCAGAAAAGAAAAGAGGACTTAAAATGCTTACTGGTGAAGATCAGATTATAGCCTTCAGCATCGATTCCACCTCAATGTAAAGAAAACAAAGATCCTCACAACTGGATCAATAAATAACATCATGATAAATTAAGAAAACACTGAAGTTGTTAAAGACTACATTTTGCTTGGATCCACAATCAACTCTCATGGAAGCAGCAGTCAAGAAATCAAATGTCGTATTTCATTAGGCAAATCTGTTGCAAAAGACCTCTTTAAAGTGTTCAAGAGCAAAGCTATCAATGTGAGGACTAAGGTGACCCAAATCTTGGCATTTTCAGAAGCCTCATACGCATGTGAAAGTTGAACAATGAATAAGGATGACCATAGAAGAATTGATGCATTTTAGTTATGGTGTTGGAGAACAAAGTTAAAAGTGCCAGAACAACAAAGAAATCTGTGTTCTGATATGGTGCTGTAGGATAAGCACTGGACTGCTAACCACAAGGTTAGTGTTTCAAAGCTACCAGGCCGCTGAAACCCTATATGGAGTTTCTATGAATCGAAACTGACTTGATGACATAATCAGGAGGGACGAGCTCCTGGAGAAGGACATCGTACTTGGTAAAGTAGAGGACCAGTGAAAAGAGGAAGACCCCCAACAAGACAGATTTGCAGCATGGCAGCATCAGTGGGCTCAGGCATAACAACAATGGTGAGGATGGTGCAGGACCAAAAAATGTTTCATTCTGTGTGCATGGGGTCACTATAAGTTGAACGTACTCGACAGAACCTAATAACAACAATGAACTCATTTCACCATCAAATATCTATATGAACAGGCCCCGAATTATAAATAAATTTCATTCCTATATTTGTCTGTATGTTGAATTTATATATAAATCAGAAGAGTTAGGTACAGTTTGCATCTCATGTCAGTTAGTAAAACATTTCTCTTGGTGTATAGTGCACTTTTTAATGCATGTTGTTGTTGTTAAGTGCCACCAAGTCGGTTCCAACTCATAGCCACTGTGTATAGGGTTTCCAAGGAGCGGCTGGTGAATTTGAACCACTGATCTTGCAGTTCAAACTCACCTTATGATTCAAACTGACCTTGTGGTTCAGTGCATTAACCCAGAGGGCCACACCAGGACTCCTTTCTATGAACAAAAAACATTAAAGAAACACTAAATCATCTTTAACATAATTTTTTGTTGTTGTTAAGGCTGTGGAGTCATTTCTGTTTTATAGCAAACCTATATAGGTTTTTGAGGCGCGGACGGTGAGCTTGAACTGCAAATCTGGTAGTTCAAACCGACACTGCAGTCCAGTGGATTAAGCTGCAGTGCTACACAGTCTCCTCATTTCCATAATAATACAGTAAGTAATAATAATAATGTTTTGATGTCCATTACAAAGCAGTGCCTGTTTCTTATTAGGAACCACTGTATATATCTCATATTTTAAATATGTTTTATGGGGGTTGGTTTGTAACTACAGGTTGTGCATAAGTCGGACTGCCAGTTACCTTTGAGTTGTAGATTCTGACATATGTTGTTGTTGTGAAGTGCCGTTGAGTCTATTCTGACCCATAGCGACCCTGTATAGGGTTTCCGAGGAGCAGCTGGTGAACTTGAACCACCCACCTTGCAGTTCAAATGGCTTTGCAGACTGGTGCGATCTTTGCAGCCAACAGCACCACACCAGGACTCCAATTCTGACATTATAAAACAGTTGTCATTTTTAAGTGCCTTCGAGTCAGTTCTGAATTATAGTGACCCTGCATAGGGTTTCCGAGGAGCAGCTGGTGGGTTTGAACTGCCAACCTTGTGGTTCGCAATCCAGTGCTGATTCTACAGCGCCACACCAGAAGTCCATAAAACAGAGTTGTGGATAACATGGAAAGATAAAACTGAGGACTTTAGACTCATGGAAAAAGAAAGGCTTTGTGCTGGGGGCCAGGAGGCAGGCTTGAAGAATGTGCTCTTGAGTTGTTTAAATGATTATATATTCCTGAGTGTTTTTGTGTACATAAAAAAAAGAAACAAAAAACAGAGGGAATAGAAGCAAATACTGTTGAATGGTAATGCACGGAGGGGATTGTAATCATTGCAATGATGCGAAATACGATAGGATGAGTACAAACCTGATGTTCTCTCATGTAAACTATCACTCAATACATAATAAAAGCTTTAAAAAAAAAAAAGTTATTGTTGTTAAGTGCCGTCGAAACAGAGTAAACAGTAATATTTTATAGTGACTTTATACTGTTTCCAAAGCTGCTATCTTTTCTTTTCTTTTTCTTTTTTTTTATGATTCTCAGTGTACTTTATTTTCTGGCTGTCTAGCTAAGCAGTGCACACAGGGCAGGAATGGGTAGCACATAAAAATGATCAGACCTTTTATTCTTCCAATATCCCTGCCCCTCCTTAAGCGCCAGTCCATCCTTATCTAGTAGCAATTGAAACAGCTAAAATGAAAACAAGGCCAAGGCAGTAATCTTTACAGAAATAGGCTGTCACATCTTTCTTCTGCAGAGCAGCTGGTGTGTTTGAATCATCACTAACCTTTCGGTTAGCAGCTAAGTGCTTAATCAATGTGCCACCAGGGTTCCTTATGTATGAGATGCCATGAGGTGCAATACAGCTCCACATAAAAGGGATAACTTTCCTCCCTTTGGCCCCCATTATATGACTCTTTGCTCCCTATTGTTATTGTTATTATTAAGTGCCATCAAGTTGGTCCCAACTCATAGCAACCTTGCATAGGGTTTCTGAGGAGCAGCTTGGTGAGCCTGAACTGCTAACCCTGAGGCTCAGACTGTCCTTGCAGCGCACCGCATTGACCCACAGTGCCACACCAGGAGTCCTTGCTCCCCATTACTAACCCATTTTCCACTTCTCTTTCTCCCTCTTCTTTTTTTGTTTCTTTCTTCTGTATTTTCCTTTTCTACTTTCCATCTCCCAGCTTCTTCCTACTCCTCTCTACCCAGCTCCTTTCTCTTTCATTCTCTCTTTCTTTGTTTCCTCAATTCTGTGCCTCCTACTTGCTCCAGACTTTTTTTCTCTCCCTGCTCCATTGACCCATTTCTATCTGGTGCCCCCACATAGCCATATGTCTTTTTCTATCCCCCACATAGCAAGCACTCATAAATGACAATTACTATTTTCAATAACATCATCTTGTCATCAAACAGATGTCATTTTCACCCCTATATGGTTCTTGAGTATAAGAAATAAGCTTCTCATCTTTGCCTTTCCAGCAGCTAGCATATGACAGGCACAGAATAATTACATTATTTTGTAATTTTTTACAAAAAAATATTTTTTTTTTCCTGTTGGTGCCTTTCCCATCATTCTCCTCTATCTGTTTGTCTCCATCACTGAGTAACTCTGAACTGTCTCTGTTTTCTTTTTTAATTTATACCTTTTTTTTTCTCCTGATAAGCCAGTTTGAGGATTTTCTACTTTTCAACATCTGCTCTTTCATAACAGCTGACTGAATTCAGTCACCTGAGTGAATAGAATGTAAGTTACACATGAAATCAGCCAGACAAAGGGATGGTAGGTTAACTGCCTTAACTATTTTATGCCTCGTAAAGAGTCTATACAACACATAGATCACTGAATTATGAAGATCTTTATTTCCATGAGATGCACTGATTAATATACCACCATATATTTATGTGAGCAATAGTACCCAGAGGAAAATGATATTTACTCCTCCTTGGTGTTTTCATAATACCATGTGTGCCCCTTGCCAGGGGGATTAGCACTTACATCACAGTTTATTATTACTTGCCTAATTTCCTGCCATACCATAAATTCTGCAATGGCAAAAACTATGTCTATTGTATCATCATCTCTCCCCACCCTCAAAAAAGATATCCTTCTAACAGCCTTTATTTTCTAAAAATGACATTATGTACATAAGCTTAGATCTTAATTAAGACAGTTCATCTTTTTTGGAATAAGGCAGGAGGAGTCCTGGTGTGGCTCTGTGGGTTAATGCACTAGATTGCAAAGTCAGTTTGAACTGTAAGGTTGGTGGTTCAAGCTCACCAGTTGCTCCTTGGAAACCTTCTAGAGGGTCACTATGGGTTGGAACTGACTCAATGGCACTTAACAACAACATAAATTAATTAAATTGCTCTTAATGCTCCTCGGAAACCCTATACAGGGTCGCTATGGGTCGGAATCAACTCAACGGCACTTAACAACAACATACAACATTATAGTTGTTATGCAATTAATTCACATTGTGAATTAGTCACATTGTGATAATTATTAATAACCATAACAAACAGCAATCAAACAGCCAGGCTTATCCATTTAATTACTAATTTAAATTCACTAGATATGAATTATTAATTTTTATGTCCTTGAAGATAAATGACTCAGCAAATATTAAATATTATTAATGAATTGAAATTATTATACTTAACAGATTAAGCCATGTATTATTTTATAATTATTTACAATCCATTACTCAGTGAAATAAAAGTAAGCCTACAACATCTAAAGTAATATGATCCAAGAAATTTGTTTTCAAATTCTGAAGATTACTTGTACTTAAATAGTAGAGTAAAATTATGCTGTTTTCCTGGTGTCAGAGATATGAATGCCCAATTAGACCAATGGCATCATATCAGTCCTTTTGTGGATTTGGTTTTGAAAGAGTTTCTTGTAAAGTCCTTGAATTATTATTTCAAATAAATTTTTCAATAGCATAAGAAAATTCAGAAATCTGTAATTGAAGAAAATAATAAAATTCACATTTTAAGAAAAGATAAAATTTTAATGAGTTGTAATGAATAGTATGACATGTGCCACAGCCTTCTCTTCCTTTAAGTCTTAAGGAGTATGTAAAGCGCACAGACTACCTGCATCATGACTTTCAAGCGGTCAAACGGAGCCGTACTTGTTCGTGAGACCGCGCCAGACATTCCTCCTGCCACCAAACGCCTCCACCAATCTCCAGACTGCTTTTCTTGTTCAGAAAATTCATCTGGAATAGCTATACTCTCTCCTATGTCAATTACCTGACAAATTAAGGGGGTGGGATGGAATTAGATAATAAAGAAACCTATAAAACACTTAAGGACAAATTAAAAGGACAACTTTTGACCTCCTTCTAGTGAAGACTGGCAATTTTCTCAGAACTTGTACTAGATCAAATGATATTAATACCACAGTCACAAATAGATTCAAGTCCTGTTAAATGACAGTTACTTTCCATCTATTTCCAATTTTCAAACTATGTAAACTCTTTCATGAAGTAAGGCTTGTGTCCTACTCACTCACCTACTATACCTACTACATAATAAATCTATTGGCAATGAGGCAATTACAGCTCATGGCAACACCAAGTGTTACACAGCAGAACAGCCACATAAGAGTTTTCTTGATTATACTCTTTATTATAATCAGATGGCCAGACTTTTCTTCCATGGTACCTCTGGGCAGGTTTGAACCATAATTGTTGAGTGCAAATCATTTGTATCCGTAAGGAATATGTACTTAAGAAAATTTTCCTATTTAATTTAAAATATCTTAAACTCCATTGTGCTCTTACTTAAACATAAGTCAGATTTCAAGACTATTCTCTTACATGCTTTGATTAATTTCCTTCTGTATTATTTATAGTGACTCTTAAAACGTCATTTTTTAACCAGCCTTTAACTGTGAATTGGGTGAAGGTTTACAGAGCAGATTAGTTTTTCATTCAAAAATTCATACACATTTTATTTTATGATATTTATTTTATGATATATATCCCCACAATGAAACATCACTTATCCCACTGTCTCCCTGTGTTTTCCGTTTCCCTTCCTCCTTCTTTCCTGACCCTTCTGAATGTTGTCCTTGGGTAAATGCTGGCCTTTGGATCCCAAATGACTGGTTATTCTAAGAAGTGCGTACCTCCTAGTGTTATTGTCCACCTTATAGATCTGTCTATTATTTGGCTGAAAATTGAGGCATGGGGTGAGTTCAGTTGTAGGTTTGAGGGATGACTAACGTCCATAGTTTTGAGGGTTCCACCAATCTCTATAGACCTGTAATCCTAGTCTTTTTTGTGATGTTGAGCTTGTTTCACATTTTTCTCCTGCTCTGTCCAAGGCACTCAATTGTGATAAATATCCGAACTTTAACAAGCTTGGTATTGCACTTTATTTTCTGTAATTACACTTGGTCTTTTTTTTTCTTTTTTCCTAAGACAGTCTAGTTTTGCTAAATGCTTAGACAGTGTGGTTCAGTGAAGAGTGGGCAAAACTCTGGATGAGAGGATCTAGGTTTCATTACTTACCAACCATGGAGGACATATTGCTTCTCTGTTTCTTACTTTTTCCATCTCCATTTATTCATTCATGTGTGCACCCTTCCCAAGCACCTGCCACCTTAGAATCTTTGTATTTGTTTTTTTTTCTCTCTGTAAACTTTTCTCCTCAACACCTTCCTGGGCTTCTTTTCTAATACTTAGCACAACTGTAACTTATTAGTTCATTTCTGTTTATGGCTTGCTTCTTCCCACTAGAAAATTAGCCCCAGGAGGGCAAGAAACTTGTCTCTCTTGTGCACCATTGTAAACCTAGTGCCTTAGTCAGTGGAGATAAGGAAGCTCAATAACTATTAGTTAATAAATAATCTGCTAATCCTGGACTTGATGTTCATGAGGCAGTGTTACAGATTCTGTGAGATTTCTGACCTCTTATATAATAAGAGATACAAGAAAATAAACAAGCAATTATAATTCAGAGAAACAAATGCAATAGCAAGGGTAGCACATAAAGGTGTCTTAAGAAAACAATACAGAGGCATTTAGTAGTGTTTATCTTTTGTGGGAAAGAGATAAGCAGAGCTGTCAGATAATACTTTCCAGATAAAATGACTTAGAAGAAGCAAAGCCTCAATCTGAATGTATGTTCTGGAAAAATGGACTGATAGGATGTACCATTCTCATGAAAGTTGCCTTAGGAGTGGAGGTGATAAGAATGGGACCAGGACTGGTGGCATAGTCAAGGAGGACATTTGCTTTATCTATCGCTCATGTTTTCTTTCACTTTTTCAAAGAAGACAATCTATAGTTATATTGTTTATGCACTGTTCACAAGAAAGATTAGAAAGCAAATACTTTTTAAATGCTAATCGTTATTAATTCTCCATAACAGGAGACATTTCTTATAGATTTCAATCATTTTAACTTTTTCAAAATTATGAAAAGTAATATCAAAATTTAAAAATACTTGTCCTATCAAAAGCACCCATGTTACTGCTTTCTTCCAATGGGGCATGAATAGTAACAATCACATAATAAAATGTAGAGCCTTAGTAATTATTTTGGTATCTCAAGAATACAAGGCTGGGGAGCAAGAAGGCAGCTTTGCCAGATACACTCTGCCATCTCCTGTACAGCAAGGGTGTGGGAAACCAAGAAAAACATGCAGATGACAGTCTTGAAACCCTGGGCAGCAAATGAAAGGATGAAGAATTAGATCAAACACCAGCTGAAAATAGCAAACAAGGAGACACAGGATCATGGGTGCCCTGCCAGCTGACCCAGCATAATGTGATGATCTTGAGATAAAGCAAGCAGTGCCCCTGGGTGAGGAAGATAGAGGAGGAGGATAGAAAGGCAATTTCACGGAATCCCCACAGGAGACAGAGATATAGGATAGAAAAATCCAGAGCAAAGCAAGTTAGTCAAAACATGAACCAGATATAAGGAAGGAAAGTATAGAAAGGCAGACAAGAACTCCAGGGATCCTGGCTACAATAGCATAGGGAGAGAGCCAGAAAATAGAAGTTGAACTATTCACCCACTGATCACTGGTCGTGCACTGCACTACTCTCCATTCCAAGCCCAGGTGATTGGCAGCACACACTCATGTCCTCTGCCCCCTGTTCTCCCAACAGCCAGAGGCACACACTCCTGCAAATTGTGCATCACATGCCCACTGCATGACAATTGGCATCATGCACTCTCATGCTGCTGCACTATTCCCAGGGCCACTGGTAGCACATGCCCCCCAAAAATCATGTGTCAAATGCCTCACCCACCCCTGGGCACCCTGTCAACTAGTGGACCATGCTGTCACTCTTGACCACCACACCACCCTATCAACCAGGCAAGTGAATGGTAGTGCACACACCCCACTTACTAGTGCCTCCATGTCACCCACCCTCCACCATTTCCCTGTTCTTCCTTCAACTGGCAGTGGCCATGTCACCCATGTAACTAGGGTCACTATCTCCCTTCTCCTCTGCCCTCCTGCCCTGACAATTGGCAGCTCAAGCTCCCATGCCACCCATACAGAGATCTGGGACTCATGCACCCTCACACCAACCACCCAGCAACTGGTGAAGTGCACCCACAGACCCATAATCTGGCAAATGGCAAAAGCATATCCTATACCCACACCTTGGTAACCATATTTCCAAGCACATTACCTCAGAAGCAAAATCCAAGGCATCCTAACAGGTGCCACCTGCACTGCTGACTAACAATGAGCAGGAGTTCCTAGGACCTTCATCCAACATCTGCCCGGCTGCAAGGTCATACACCCCACACCCAGCCAGTTCAGGCAGGCTGACTGCTCATGCAATGAAACCCCTACACCACCCACCACCTACAGAAATGCAATTCATGCATGCACAGAGGGCTATTGTAGGAAGAATACGACATGTGTGAAACCCACTCTGAGGCAGTTCTCAAACCAAGGAATGCCTTGATGAAAACCTCAAGGAAAACCTTGCATGCCAAAGATTATGGGAGCAAAACACACTGACCAGATGGCTGGGGGTAATTATCTAAAATGAGAAAAAAAGTATGTGTGTCCAACTATTATCTAGTAATAATAAACCTTAGCTTTGTTGTGGTGCCCGGATACGCCTCCTGCCTAAGATTGCACTTAAAGCTGTATTGTAGGTAATAAAGTTACTCTAGATTGACCATCTTGAGTCCCCTTCCACTTTCATTCTCCATCCACCTCCGAGACCTGATCATGCAGGCTGGATTCTGAAGGCTGTCCTATCCATTTGGGAAGTACTGCCCACAGCAGCTATGCCCTGCCTTCCAGTGGGAACACTAACTGTTAGCACCAACCCAGAAGGGCCCCTCAGCACCTATGTTGGTGTGCCACCAGATTAATGACTTCTGGAGCATGCATGCCCTGCTATCCTGGACACATCAAAACTAAGCAAAATAAGATGAAATAAACTAACATATATTCAATAAATAAAGTAATACCTTCATGCTGGTAAGACAGCAGAAATCAAGTCATATAAAGAAGCAGGACAAGATGGTTCAAGAAAGTGACTAAAGCAAAAGGGCAGAATACCTTCACTAGGAAGAAATGGTAATAAAACTGCCTGGTAATTAATTTAAAATACAAATATATAGGATCCTCAAATAGATAGGGGGAAAATCTCAGACAAAACCAAGGAAAACAAAAGATAAAACTCTAGAAGAATTCAGAGAAAAAATACAAAAACAGAATGACCAAGTCAACAGTTAATTAGAAACCATACAAAAATAGCAACTCGAAGTCTATACAATTTACAATAAAATATCGGAAACAGATAACTTGATGCAAGGGCTTAGAAGTATAAGTGGACCAGTAGAAGACAGAATAGAGGACAAATCTTGGTACTAATTTGTTTGAAGAATGATCAGAAAAATGAATTAAGAAAACTCAAGTTAAGTGGGACAAAATCAACAACAATGAAGAAAATGAAAAAGAAAATTCATAAAGAAAAAGAATTCAGCACAAAAAAATTAAGCAACAAAAATGTCCACACACAGAAAAAGCATAAGGAAATGACAGCAATGAAGACGAAAATTACACTGAATATAAATGGTTTGAACAAAACAGTCAAGAGGAAAACAGTGACAAAATGGGTAAGAAGAAAATATGACCCATCAAAGACATAAACTGATTAAGAATCAAAGGATGGGAAAAAAAAAAAAAAGCAAGAGTAGCAACATTAATCTCTGACAAAATGGAATAATCTACACATGATTGGAATTCCAGAATGGGAGGAA